TCTCGAGCCTGGACCTCGTTGAGCAAGTATTTCTCAACGGCTGCAGACGAGACCGAATCTAACGCCGAAGTTGGTTCTAAACAGGATATAAACAGCGCATAAGGTTCAGAAGAGAAGGGATTATCCACCATCGAGAAGGAGGACTTCAGCACTATTAAGACCTATAGCAATTGCTAAGGTCAGTCGTTGAGCTTCTCCACCACTGAGACTGGACCACTCGCGGTCCCAAAGATGGTGATCAATACCCCATTCACGGCATATTGCAAGTGTGCGGTCTAAAGGATCGTAAGGCCCGCTACCTAATTTCTTGAGTGCGTGAGCATGTGTTTGATGAGCACCGAATGCAACGACTCTTCTCAACAAATCGTTAGGAGTGCCAGGAAGTAAAGGCGGACGTTGAGGGACATAGAATACTCGAGTGCGGAAGGAAGGTATGCCTGGAATGAAGAATGAGACAGGTCACTATCTGCCAACGGTGTGAGAATACCAAGTGACTTTGGTGAACTACAGAAAGTTGAGACGGAGAAAGTGAGAGTTCAACTTGACAAACCTTCCGCGATAGAGAACGTCACCCTTGTAGACGATTAGATGGGCAATGCACTTGAGAAGAGTGGTTTTCCCAGAGCCACTTATGCCCCGGAGGACTACGATATCACCTTGATTGACCAGAAGATTAACAGCTTCAAAGACGGACTGGCCGTCTCTAGAACAAGTGACATCACGTAACTCAAGCAGTGGGGTGGCCATGAAGACCAAGTTGAGACGGCCGGCTGTATTATTAACATGGTGAGGGGTTCAACAATGACGCACGTGCGTTCACTTGGCATTTCGATTGTTCTGTACTCATTGTAACGTTTTGCTTCAACGCGACGAACTGGCTTGTATCTCATTAGAATAAACCGCGTTACTCTAGCTGTGACCTGTCACGCAAAGTTGAACTTCGGGTGAGTGTAGCGGGGACCGAACCGTTGCAACAATGACTCGAGCCTTCCATTTCCTTTGTCACACAGCGCTCAACGCCACCGGAAGATGAAAAAGAAAAGAAAAGAAAAAACAAGGGAAAATGTCCCGAGGGCATTGTCGTCACTGTCCAGCAGAGTAGATTTCATGTAGATTCTGTTGATGCCCCTGCAACAAAAGAGGTATTGTATTTATACGATACTATTCCACTCATTCATTTCGTCAATACCTAGATCGATGTCAGAGATCTAACTTTGTCTGTTGGTGGTCGGGATCTCCTTTCCCATGCGAACCTCGTCCTCCGAGAGAACAATCACTATGTAGTTGGTCGCGACGGAACGGGCAAATCGACCCCGATTCGTGCTTTATTGGAGGGCCGTATCCCTGGTGTCTCGCGGAGTCTGCATATGCTCCCTCTAGGCCAGAATAACGTCAATGGCAGAAATAAATATCGATGAGGGCCTTGCTGCCTTGCGATTCGAAGATCGTACTGTCCTAGAGTATGTCATGCGGAGTGATGCGAGACACGAACGCGCCTTTGCAGAAGTCAAACGTACGTGTTCTGAGCTGCTAGTGGATCATCCCTCCTACAAGCGAGACTAGATCTATCAGAGGCCCTAAAAACACCAAAGATCCCTTCGCAGTCATCGGTGCGATTCGTAAGCTCAAGCATGAGCGCCATATTCGTGCCTACAACGAAATGATCAAGATTGCAGCATGGCGAAGTGGCGCCCGAGGTCCAAAAGCATGCAAGGATCTCCTCGCCGCAGAAGAGCGAGTTGCGGCTTCTGCGGCCTTACTTCAGGAACCCAGGAGCGAGATCGATGCAAAAACTATGCAGGAAGAGATCCGTAAGGCTGTGGACGCTATCGCAGATATACAGACGTCGCTTGACGCAATGGATTCTGCGAGCGCAGAAGCGTGCGCGCATCGTGCTCTGTGGTCTTGGCTTCTCGCCCGAGACTATTTCAAGGCCGTATTTGACGCTATCCGGTGGATGGAGGACACGCTGCTTCCTTGGGAGCGCACTTTTCCAGAAGGTTGATATCCTCCTTCTGGATGAGTGTACGGATGAGTGTACAAATTTTCTGGATTTGCCTGCAATATTATTTGGCTACAGGGCTTTGTGCAGTCTCTCACTGAGACTACCGTAGTCGTCGTGTGAGTTTCAAAATGCATTCAGTTGTGGAAGGTCCTGAACCCTTTTTTCCAAGAACAGCACCCACGACCGCGACTTCGCAGACGCTGTTGCCGATGACTTGATCGTCTTGCGCGTGAGCACAAGCTTGAATACTTCAAAGGCAATCTCTCTCTTTATGAGGCAGAGAGACATGCCAAAACGAAATATTTCACTCGCATGCAAGCTACTCTGGACAAGACGACAAATCACATGGAACGGTCTATTGTATCCGCACTCAGCGCTGCCAAGTGCAGTGGTGATGACAAGAAGATTAAGCAGGTCGCATCACGGAGGGAAAAAAATAGAAGAAGGATCCGGTCTTTAAGTTGGGCTCAAAGGCGGCAGGTTTAAACTCACGAATCGCGCCGAAATAAACATACCGACTATAGACGCCCTCGTGAGGATTTCAATGACAAGCGAACCGCCTGATTTGAGGTTTCCTGGTGCTCTAGTGACACTGGAAAAAGTATTTTTTTTTGGTATCTATGCTCGAAGAAAATGATAGTTGCGGATGTGGACCTTGTAATCCATCTCGGAGAGCGCGTCGGTCTTGCAGGACTTAACAGAAGCGGCAAGTCTACACTTATAGGGTTGGCCACAGAGGAGTTGAAACCTACCAAGGGGAATGCGTCGCATCATACAAGAGCGATGATTCAGTGGTTCTCGCACTATTCTGTCGAGGAATTGGAGGAAAAGGGAAAGGCTGACGAAGAGCTCACAGCGCTGAAAGATTGACGACTGTTAGTGCAGGAGAGCTGTCTGAACAGGAAAGCGCGGGCACTTCTTAGTGGTCTCGGGTTGTCTGGAAAGATCGCGAGTGATGGTCCCGGTTGCAGCATTGTCAGGTGGACAAAAGGTCTGTAATGTTCAAAGAAGATCTGCATTGTAGCTCTGATGAGTTAAATGGGTCAGATTGGCGCTTGTAAAGCTCGTCTACTCCCCGCCGCATCTCTTGGTGCTGGATGAGTGACTGACTACACACCTAGACGCGGACACCGTTTTAGCGCTCATTGAGACCTCGCCAAGAGTATTAATGCGCACTGTTGGTTGTTACTCATGATAGGGGTGTTTCATTGAGGCCTGCACTGGGGAGATGACTTGTGGACTCTTTGATTCTTCATGAGGTGTGTAGTAGAAGGAGAGTCTCCCTATGAGGCAGCGGGAGGGTGTTATGAGGAAGAGGAAAAAGAGAAAGCTCACAGGCAATGGCAGGCCAAGCCTGGAGTCGTATATCGCTTGGTCAATGGACAGCTAAAAGCAATAGATGGTGAAATGCGGAAATATGGATCGATTGCGTTGAAAGCGAGCAACGAAGTGGGAATCCCCGATAGATAAGATTTGTAGTTGATCTAATCGATTCTCGTCAAGAACTATCATGGTTGCGATCCGTCTACGCCATCCTTCCGGCGTGTCTACTGTACAAGTCGCCCTCGACCGAGGTGATTTCACTGTACAAGATCTCCAACAGGAGATTTATGCCGTCACACAGATCCTCCCTTCGCGCCAAAGCCGTGAGTCGACCTCATTTCCATTCGGATTCACGATGTCAACATAATGTGATTCAATCAAGTAAAAGCCGGATATCCACCACAATCGCTTACTTTGATACCAGAGCTTCCAGCAGAGAGCCTTGGGCTCAAAGCAGGAGAGCAAATCATTGTCGCTGAGCTACCAGATGTCGCGTCTGCAGGTTCCTTCTCACCTATTACGAGTCGAAGTACAGACAATTCCTATCAACCCTTCGGCTCCAGCCCATCTGGATCGTCGATATCAGAATCTCCGCCTCCTCTACTACTTACTCGCCGCTCTCCACCTTCAGGTTCTAGTGACCCAAACTACGTTCAGATGGATGGTGGTTTCCTAATGCACAGAGTACGTGTAATCAGAATTCTATGCGGAGTTCTTATAATTGCTCTTGGATCAGGTCGTACCAGATGATAACTCTTGTCTCTTCTCTGCTGTGGCATTATTGTTGGAGCAGAGCATCGACAAAGCCTCTGAGATGCGGAAGAGTACGTCACGTACCATAAGTATTACTCGTCTATCTGAAGCTGAAAACATGGTCAGTCGTTGCGGAAGGCATCCAGAAAAATCCGTCAACGTATGATGAGGCCATCCTTGGGTACGTGTTTCTCTCTTGAAAAGTCTTCTCTAACGATGTTATTAGCATGCCACCTGAAAAGTATAATGCAACAATCCTGAAGCCAACAACTTGGGGTGGCGCAATTGAGCTCACCGTCCTCGCTAAGCACTATAACACAGAGATTGCAAGTGTGGACATTGAGACAGGCAGGGTAGATCACTTCTCTCCCCCAAGTGACTCTGCAGGTGGTATGCGCTGCATCCTTCTGTATTCTGGTATCCACTACGATGCGGTGACCTTGGCTCAGACGCTTGAAGCAGAGGAAGGGTGGCACCAGACGCTATTCACAACTGTATGTCTTTCTATTTTCAGAACGTCTTTTGAGTTTCGATGGCTATAGGGTACCTTGGATGATCAAGACCCCGTAATGATTGCAGTCGAAAAATTGGCAGGTATCCTGCGAGCTAAGAAAGCATATACCAATACTTCAACATTCGACCTGAAATGCGAGGTATATATCCTTACGGACTTCCCGAAAGCCTGAAGTTGACTGCTTGCTAGACCTGTGGGAAAGGATTGAAGGGTGAGAAAGATGCGCGTGTTCATGCGGAGCAGACAGGGCATGTCCGTTTTGGAGAATACTAAGCATGTTTTACGCAACTTGGAATCGACGATGTCTGTTAGCCCGATATGCACAAGCATGATCAGCCCCTTTGTGTGAGCCATGATGTTGAAGAAAGAAGGAAGGTTCAGAAGGAGCATAACTAAAAAGTTGTTTGGGGGTACCGCGGATCGAACGCGGGACCTTCAGAAACCATATAGCCTTCAGTCTGCTGCTCTCCCAGCTGAGCTATACCCCCTGCTATAAATTTTACTTATTGCCAGTTCAAGCCTTCAAGGCTAAAGGGATTTCTGAATTCCAAGCAATGGCCAGCTCGTTCACACACTACAAAAGTCTACATTCGAATTCGAGAACAACAGGACAATGATCAGAGGCCCCATATATTTCATCTCTGATTTCACACTGGATAGCAATGTCATCTCGGCATCTAGTATTTGAAACAGAAAAACCGACTAATTTTGCTTGTTTCGCGATACGTTCGCTCAGTATGACTGATGAAAGGCATCAGTCGGAGAACGACGCAACATACAGAAAACCTTACACATGTCAAGGCGCCATCCTGTTCCACTCTGCCTGCAGTTGAAACGATAAGAAAAGTAGGTATAATGTCTGAGAACTGGGTGCATTTGACGCCAGATGTCAACAAACTTCTCGGAAGCGTCTGGGGAGTTCAGTATGTTCTGAAAAGCAGTTGTTTCTGCTTCTGTATAGCCAGGTGACTTGTTCCAGTTAGACTTAGCATTTCGAAGATCTGCAATTATCAAGTTCAGAGAAGGACTTCAATTGGCCACAGAGTTCTCACCCATCTCTGTTGGAGCAACGTTCAAGTCTCCTGTCCATATCACAGGTTTCTTCCGATCAAGCTCTCGAATATAGCTGTCAAAGTGAGTATTCCACACTTTCTTAGAGCCTAGGGTCTGACGATGGAAAATGAGCTTTGTGCATGTCAATTGGTCCAATCATACCTTGAGACCATGGCCTGCATTGACAACATAGGTACCAATCAAACAAAATGCCTCGAATTCCAGCATGATTATTCTTCCTTTCGTCTCAGATGGGTCAGGATGGCCAGGAAGTATCATGTTCACATTGAGTGGTTTATGCTTTGACAAGATGGCTGTGCCAGCTAGGAAACCCATTGGTCGATATTAACACCTTACCATCTTAAACTTACCATAACCCTTTTTCTCAGCAATGGACCAGTAACGGTAAGGGTAGAGTTTCGCTAAAGTAGGATCAACAGGCTCGTTGTTTACCTGTCAAGGGTCAGCTACAGATGGTATATCTATTGTACCATACCTTTGTCTCAGTAAGAACCATGATATCTGCATCTTCTGCTTCGACATAGTATTTGAACCCCTGCCAAAATCGTATTACGCAGCTGAGACTAGATAAAAGTGTTCATACCTTCTTTAAGCTTGCTGATAGACCGCAGATATTCCATGTAGCGATTCTTAGCGTGCCTGGTGTTTTCTGGGGGAACGTGATAGTGACTGGTAAAACCCTATTTGTAGGCTGTGTGTTTTCTAATGCCTGTGCATCATCAGAAATATTCGCTTTCATCCTCTTTGTCTTCGAACGAGTCGTATTCTCTTCTACGTATTCTGAATTTTTGCGTTTGGTACGGAGCATTGGACAAAGGTTTTGAATGTCAACTGAACTTGTGAGGGGTTCACATATCACATGATCATATTATAACTTACGTTCTGGTCACTTTGGTCATCATTTGACAGGTTTGAAAGCCACCGTCGTCCAGTCAGACGGTGGCACAACCCGTATAAAATCAGGCTTGTCTTGCCACAAAATTGTGGTAGCGACCATAATTTTATGCTTACTCATCGAGGATTTTCGGCTTGGATTGTCGTCGACGGGGAGCCTCTCCCTGAATATTTGATCGCTGTGGATTCAATCAAGAACTGCGTTTCTTGCTGGATACCTAGCGAGGAGGGTAAAGTAAGTCACTCATCCACTTTTTTCTGAATTTTTACCATAGCTGACCGTGATCTCAGAATTTCTCCGTGCATTGGCAAGATCATGGTGGCCGAGTAGACACTTGTTCTTTCATCACGTTGGACGGCTTCGTGGTGCCAGGCCGATTTTTGTTCGGTCGTGGGACGGCGTCAAGGCAAGGCGTCAGGACGTCGATGTCCACTGAACGGCCATTTATGTTCCAGAAGGCAGACCATGCAGGTTAGGCTTGTTATTTTACTTAACAAATGTCACTGAATTGCGTGCCAGAAGACCAATTTCCACCACAAGGCACTTCTAGAGATCTCGGAATGATAATCCTACGCATAAAGCGTGTAGCGCGACTGGAAACGCGTCTTCCCAACCCCGCGTTAGAAATCCCTTCGGGTTCTTTGGGCAAACGGAGGCCAGGAGATCATTATATAGGGTACATGAGTTTTTTCCTCCAGTGAACACAACTTGAATATGGGTTTTTCTTTCAGGTTTGGTCAGGAGTTACAGACCCACAAACAATATTTGTCGACATGGTCTGTAGTTGCGTACGAGCAGAAAGAACGAAAGAATGCAAAGCCAAGCACATATGTATCCTTTGTGTTCAGATACAGGTCCCGAGGTACGTTGCTCTTTCTCGATGGCTGTAAAATTGCTTCATAGTGTGTCCACCAGAGTTTCTGGAGGCGCAAGGTATCATTCTTGAGACTGAGGCCAAGACCATACAATCCGCAGCCCCTGAGCGATCAGTTGGACGCCGAGTTGTCAGCTTACCTGCAATGACGCAGTCTGTGGATTCGTCGATGCCGCAGCAAGAAAGTGCAAAGATTTCCATGATCTCACCGGTAAGAGTGCGAAACTCACTCTGGATTTCCTCACCTAAACTATGTAAAAATAATGTGTAGAGACCTTTTGCACGGCTATCTCACGATTTACGAAGAACTGTAAGCCTGGAAACATGTCCTGAAAAAGTAAAGGGATTTCCAGGACAAGGCTTCTCACTCCCCAGTCATTGCGAAAGCCCATGGGAAAATTCTGGAGAAAACGGCAACACTGAAACAGATTGTTAGTGAAAGAGGCTAGCGGGCCTGGTCTATATTGTCGATATGCTTTTTTTGTTTTGTATTGTCACTGTTTACGATCGCTTTCGTCGCTCTGTTGACTGTGTGCCTGTTCTTCATTACGGTGAACTTTGATAACCATTGATTTTCGCTGCTTTCCGGCCATATTGGAGGACCGAGGCACGCGTCTGTCACGCATGCAAACCACGTGAGTGGTGTGTCACCAGGGGTGACAGAATGGACGGATTCAGAAGAACTATAGTATACTATGACATGGAAACGTGTATAGTAAAAGGCTCTGGTGTTATACCTGGGACAAGATACAAATTTTGAAAAAAAATCAAAAATTGATGTGTGGGCCTGTTTTATACAGTTGATAATTAGTTTCTCAAAATTCAAACACAATTTAAATCTAAATTTTAGACAGAAACAAAGAAAGAATTCTGTGCATCTTTTGCAGCAAGATTAAGCATTTCTATAGCAACTGCAAATTTGATATCTGTTAGATATTTCTAGGCTGAGTATTACTTGTAGAATAACAAAAAACTGATGTCACACACTTATTTTTGCATTGTTCATGGGTTATTCATACTAGAACAATCACATCCATTTTATTCAGAACTCTAACAAACCTTGCACCAATGACCTTTTGTATAAAAGTGACTTTTAAACACTGTGGTACCACTAGAACAACAGTGCCTTTGCCATTGATCTCTAAAGGCACACAGTAATGCTAGTACCCCTGCTTACAGAAAAATAGATATTACACTTTTTTGTTGTTCATTGATCATCCTTCAGTACAGGAGCAAACATATGAATAACACCCTTTAAATGATCAAGGCACGAAATGAATCAAAAAAAGAGTCTATGAAATGTGTAAGCACTTTGAAGCATAGCAATAACTTTGCCTTGCTTGGCATAAGCCAGAAATACATTATCAAATGCACAAATTGATAGATACAAAGTTTCTGGGTCTACCAGCCACTCTCAAAGCAGCAGAGCATTGAAAGCTACACAAGGGAAAGAAACTGCAAAAATCAGAACCTTCTGACAAGTGTTTTGATTAATTGAGGCTTCTGGAGAGTTTTCAGAAGGCATACTGTGTGGTAATATCCACAGAAGACATAGCAAATGAAAGAAATCAGAAGAAAAAAGCACAAAACTAGTGATAATCAGAGTTTGGAGTCTTTGATTGACCATGGGAAAATACTTCTTATTAGAGTGGACATCCCCAAATGGTCACTAAGTTTGTCCCAGATATGACACCTGAGCCTAGTAAATGTTGGAATTCTGACTCAAGTAGGCAAGCAGTCCCAATGCTCCACCTGTCGCACCACTGTCACTATTGTGTTGGAAAATGACTTTATTTATGAATCTGGGTTTGTATAGCAACTGGATTGCACTATATAAATAGTTACATTGTATGTAACTAATCATCTGTTTGCCTCTGAGCCTCTTCATCAGTCCATGTGAGGCAAACCTGGAATTTTGATGCTGTTCAACTTGCGCAAGTATTTCAACATAAAACATGTACAGTGGCTCAAAAAACTGTCCCAATGTTTTATACTTTCTGAAAGATGATATTGGCATGAAGGATTGGAAGTATTTAAAATTCTGGTTAAATCATGTAAAATACTATGGCATTGCAGCTACAAATTGCATCTTAGCTTATGTAATTTAAATCAAAACTGATGGAGTAAT